GTTCCCAGGGTTTCTACTATTTGTAGGAGATTGTGGCTGAATTCACCTGCAAGCTGATAATAGTAATAAGAGGAAGAGGCTATGCCACTAATTCCTGTGCCTACCCCTGCTGCCACTCCGAGCCCCACTAGCAAGGGGATCAATTGTATAGCTCTTTTTATTCTCCATGGATACTGGTGAGTTATGACACGGATATGTAGACTTTGATTATTAGGCATAATGTCCATTTAGGGAGTGAGATAAGCCACAGCACACAACCCTGCCCTCCCAGCAGGGAGGCACTGGTAGGCAAATTCGCCACACACAAAATAAGTCCCATTATCAGAACACCATCCTTGTGTTGGTTGGCACCCTAGACCCATATAGTGAGAGGTTTTAATACATTGATTTATAGTTAGATTGCCCTCTAAAGGACTAGTTCCATTATTGAAATAACATTCAGGTGCCTTGTAGGCGAGTTGTACCCAGTTCAGACCTAAACTCCTAGTGTTAGAGACAGCATCGCTATTCGTCGAGGTGAAAGTCTTAGTGAGGTTTATCAGAGGTAAAGCCAGGTGCTGGATGGGGCCAGGATGCAAGCATAGCCAGCAATCTTTAGCCAGGTCTGGATTGGTGTGATTGAGAATCCCATGGACTGCGGATAACAGCCCATTTATTTGTGGATTCAGATCCCGAGACTTGGATAAAGATGGAAGCTTTATTGGCTTCTGAGTAGGTAATAACATTTGGTGTTGCCTCTGGACTGCTTGCCGGCGTGCCTGTTCCTGTATCCCTCCTCCATCATTCATCTCATAATGTGTTTGCTTGGTCCAGCACACCAGCTTGCTAGGTGTGCTGTAGCACTTGATGCCAGATACGTAATAAGCCTTAATTGTGCCAATCCAGTAGGATTTGCCCTGATATGTGCACTCTGAAGTGGAGTCATAGCATTGACTCAGCTGGTAAGTATAAGCTGAGAATACAGGCTGGTACATGGACCACCTGTCACCCGGTTCCGTGCAGGTGCATTGTACAGCCAAGGGGAGTGAGGGCATTAGCGTCAGTAACACCAGCCTTATGATTATCTTAGACATGATGCTGTGGTGATGGCACTAATTATAATAAGGTATAAAATAGCTATCAGGACTCTATGGCCTATGTTCCAGTCAGGTGGGTGAGCTAGCTAGCCCCACTGCTAGTACTCAGACTGGTATAGCAAACAAGGAAAGAGGCAAGGGAGCACAAAAGAAACACATTTAACAGCTGCATTGAGCTTTCCTCAAGCTTCGGCTGTGCGTTGACTAGCCAGCTTCCAGGTGTGGCTCGAGCAGGGCTTGTCGATCCTTTTCTCATCCCTCTTGATCTTGATCTTGAGCAGGTCTCCTGGGACACTCTCAATTTTCCAGGGACCCTCTGTTTGAGGTGTAGTCGCTCTCTTGACCCTGGAGTGGTGGATCCAAGGGATGATTCCTGCAACTTTAACAGCTGTAGGGGTAGTTAATACCACTCAATATGGTTCCTTCCATGTTGGTTTGAGAGATTCCTTTTTCCAATCCTTCACCCATACCTGGCCACCTGATTTATGGGGATGCACTTGGACTCCTAACAAAATGGTTTTTTTTTCTATCACCCAACCCCAAACTTCTCATAGTACTTGTCCTAGTCCCAACAGTTGATGGTGGAGCCCTAAATTTCCTATTTCTGTGGTGAGATTTCCCATCCTGACTAAGGGTGGTGGCCACCCATAGAGGATTTTAAAGGGAGAGTACCCAATATTAAATCTTGGGGTGCCTCTAATTCACAACAGAGCCAGGGGTAGAATGTCCACCCGGGGGAGCTGGGTTTCTTGGTTGATTTTAGCTATCATTTGTTTTAGAGTTCTCTTCATTTGTTCTACCTTCCCTGAGCTTTGAGGCCAGTACGCTGTGTGCAGGTTCCAGCGGAGGCTCAGTGTCTTTGCCACTTGCTGTACAATCTCTGCCATGAAGGCAGATCCATTGTCAGACCCGATGGAGGTAGGCATTCCAAATCGAGGGATAACATCCCTAAGGAGAGCCTTTGTCACTTCCCTTGCTTTCTCTGTCCTGGTGGGGTAGGCCTCTACCCACCCTGTGAAGGTGCAGACGAAAACCAGCAGGTACTTATATCCCTTACTGGGCCCAGGTTCAGTAAAGTGCACTTCTAAATCTTTGAAGGGAGCCAGTCCGCATCGTTGTATTCCCATTGACCAGTGAGCCCTTGTTTTGGATTGTTTTGTGCACAGAGCAAGAAGTGTTGTGAGACTGACGCACACAGTGTAGGGAGACGAGAAATTAGGAAATATCACTTTAACAGGGCCTCCAAAGCCTTTTTTCCCATATGTGTGTCTTCATGTTTTTGTTGGACTAGACGATAAGCTAGTCGTTCTGGGATGAAAATCCTTCCATCCGTCATGATCCACCATCCATCCTTTCATTTTTTTCCTCATTCGGCCTGTGCCCACTTGTTTTCATCGTGGCTATATTCTGGTGCAGTGGGTAGCTCTGGCGCTGCCATAACTTTAATTACTGAGTGTTCCCAGGCGGCTGCTTCTCTTGCCTTTTGATCAGCTAGCCTGTTCTCCTGGCTCCCAGGGTCATTTCCTCTTTGGTGTCCCTTACAGTGAATATTGGCCACTTCCTTTGGATCCCATATTGCCTCCAGTAACTGTAAAATTTCTTCTTTGTTTTTGATTTCTTTTCCCCCAGGAGTCAAAAGTCCTCTCTCCTTATAGATGGCTCCATGTACATGTAAGGTTGTAAATGCATATTTGTAATCGGTGTATATATTGACTCGTTTTCCTTTCCCTTCCCTTAGTGCCTGGACCATTGCCCAGATCTCTGCTCGCTGAGCAGACTATCCTGGGGGAAGGGACTTGGCCTTTATTATCTCTCGGGTTGTTGCTACAGCGTAACCTGCTCACCGTTGTCCATCCTGCATGTAACTGCTGCCATCTGTGAAAAGTTCCAGGTCTGGGTTTTGCAGGGGCTTGTCGGTTAGATCAGGCCTGCTCACGTACACCTCTTCGATGATTTCTTCGCAGTCGTGGTCAGGATGCCCTTCCCCCTCAGGCAAATATGTGGCTGGGTTTAAGGTTCACACAGTCTCTAGAAGGACTCTTGGATTTTCACATAGAAGCCCCTGGCAGTGGGTCATCCTTGTGTTAGTTATCCATTTGTAACCTGGGCCGTTCATCAGGGCCACCACAGAATGGGGCACTTTTACATTTAAAGTCTGTCCCAGTGTGAGTTTTTCTGCCTCGTTGACCAGGACAGCTGTGGCAGTGAGGGCCAGTAAACAGGGTGGCCATCCTGATGCTACAGGGTCCATTCTTTTAGATAACTAGGCCACAGGGTGCTGCCGTGGCCCCACATTCTGAGTTAGGGCTCCAAGAGCAGTTTAGTCTCTTTCATGTACAAACACATTAATCTCTCGTGTTATATCTGGTAAGCCTAGTGCTGGGGCTTAAGTTAGTATTTCCTTTAATTGCCTAAAGGCGTTTTCTTGTTTAGTTTCCCATTTGAGGGTTTCTTTTCTTGATCCAGCAGTTGCTTCATAGAAGGGCTTGGCTATTCTTGAAAACCCGGGGATCCAGATCTGGCAAAACCCAGCTGCGCCCAGGAACTGTCGCAGTTTTCTTTTTGTTTCTGGTCTGGGTATGGTGCAAATAACTTGTTTCCATTCTGGTCCTAGGGCTCAGTGTCCCTCTGAGATAATAAATCCCAAGTATTTGATTGTCTTTTTTCAGATCTGGGCCTTTTTCCACGAGACCTTGTATCCAGTTGTCTGGAGTAACCCTAGGAGGGCTCAAGTTTCTTTCCAACAGTCCTCTTCACTGGGGCTGGCTAACAGCAAGTCATCCACATACTGGATCAGAGTACAGTTCAAAGTTCTCCAGGGAATTTTACAAGGTCTGAGGCTAGTGCTTCTCCAAACAAGGTGGGCAAGTTTTTAAAGCCTTGGGGAAGACATGCCCATGTCAGTTGAGATTTTCCTCCTGTATGGGGATCCTCCCATTCAAATGCGAATATGGGCTGGCTCACAGGTGAAGTGCGAAGACAGAAGAAAGCATCTTTAAGGTCTAGACATGTAAACCATTTGGCATCTGCCGGAATGAGGCCTAGAAGAGTGTATGGATTTGTTACTGCTGGATGTATTGTAGTGACTAATTCATTCACTTTTGTAAGTCCTACACTGGCTTATAATCTGTTCCTTCTGCTTTCTTCACCAGGAGCAATGGTGTGTTCCAAGGAGATCTGCACTCAGTTAGGATTTTCTCTTGTCGGAGGCACTGTATATGTTTCTGGATTACTAGATGGGCCTCTCTGCTCATTGATGGGGGTTGGCCAGAAACAGAAAATGAGAGCCTCAAAGGAGCCTGGGATTTGTCAGTTATGTTTTGTCAGTGCTGTAGAGTTCAAAAAAATGCTTTCACAGTTTCTCTCCATCTGAGGCGGCAGTGTGATCTCTTACCAGCATCAGGAGCTCAGGGCCACGGTATGGTGGGAGCTAACTGCACTGCCGTCAAGACAGCTGAGCTAGTCACTGCAGGTGTTGTTATTTTACATACTGCATTTCATGTTCTTTACTAGAATGTTTCAACAGGGAGTTAATTAACTGAGTTAATTAACATTTAATAAATATGATCTTTGTTGAAAAGACACTTATAGGCAGAATATAAGTTGTGAAGAATTTAAAAAGGTTTCATTACTGAAATTTCATTTGGGAAGACACACAGTTTATCTTATATATGCCTCTCTTTTAAAGTAACAAAGAAACAAGACAGAAAAGGCAGAGGATGATTTCTGTTCTTCCTCTCGGCTTGCAGGTGCCCTCACCCCCAGTAGCATCAATCCAGACACCAGCACTGACACTGGCCGTGCTCAGAACTGCCTCATCCCTGAAGACACTGCTGACAAATAGAAGAGAGCCGAGCCCTGTTACAGCAGGTGCTCTCACTTTGTGGGTCCTTATGTAACTGCGTGGTGTTAATCAGAATCGCCCGTTCTACATTGTGTGACGCTGCTGCCTTGTCTCCTAGTTACTTGTTTCTCTAAGTATTCGTGTATTATTCTCCAATGCGTGGTACTAAACACCTAAAAATGCTTTTTTCAGATGAAAAAGAATGTGCATTTAAAATAATGTCTGAAAAAGGGGGCAAAAGAGGCTATCCTTGTCCCGCTATTCAAAGATAATAATTAACACGTTAACGTATATTTTCGTCAGTGTGGATCACCTCTGTCATAAAAAACCAGCGAGCACTGTGTGCCTGTTTACTGTGTGGACACCTCCAATTTCTATTCGGCTTTTTATATGTTTTTCTACAATATTCTATCGCCTCTGGCATGATTTTTGATGACCAGTAAAGCATTCTGTCTTGTAGAGGCATCGTCCATTTTACTTCGGACTTAAATAAACTTTAAATTCCAAGTATACTTAACTGAAATACTGAAAATAGAACTGTGGTGGTACAGGAAGGCCCCTACATTCCTTCCCCTCATTTCCTGAGAGTAAAAGCTGTTGAAAATTTGGTATATATATTTCATGACCTTTATGCCTATGACATACATATATACACACATATGAGAATTCTATGTATAAGTGTGTGTATATATGCTTTATTAAAAATGAGACCATAATATATGTTTTTCTGCAGCTCGCTTTATTCACTCAGGTGTATAACATAGACTTCCTCCCACTACAGACTCACCCGGTCCTTTCAGATAGAGTGGAGTGGTCTCCTGATGTGCGGGTGTGGTCTCTTGTCCACGCACACCTTTGGTGGTAGAATGCTGTGGACAAGGCCCTGGACCACGGCGAAACGCTGGCTCCCTCAGTGCTCGCAGCTCTCCGTGATTTACTGCATCATTGTCTTGATGGTGGACAGTTAATTTTTCTCCATTTTCCACTGTCAGAAAGGATGCTTGACTGGCATCCTTCTTGTACAGACATTCCTGTGATCTTGTATGAGTATTCCTTTAGTTAAGGCTTCTGGAAATTTAGTCCCTGGATGTGACATTTACATACATCACAGACTCCTTTCAAGTGACTCTAGAAATTCCTTCTCCATTGGGGAATGAAAAGATGCACAATTACTTATGTAACCAATTCTCTATTGCTGGATATGACTTCACTTCAGTTTTTCTTCCCACCATTGTAAACAGTGCTGTGTAAATGCCCTGATGGATACATCTTTTTGGAATGAATTTTTTTTTCCTAAAGGAAACGATTCCTAGAAGTGGTGTTGAGTCATTGTGTACGTACATTTTTTCAGAGTTTACATATCCATTGACATGTCTTCCTCCGAAAATATCGCTCATGGTTTGTTCTCCCAGATGGACACTAGCAAGAATATCTATTAAAAATATTTGCGAATATGATGAGCAAAAGTGCTTTTTCATTATTTTAGTTTGCATTTGATGACCAGTGAGGTATTGAGCATTTTTCACTCATTAGCCATTTGACTTTATTAAAATGAATGATTCCTTTTATCCTTTGCACACATTTAAGTGAGGGACCTTCTTGTTGCTTTGTGACAGCTTTCTGTATGTTATGAACATTAACTTCTTGTCTTCATCAACATGTATCACAGAGCTTTTTCTTGTCATTTCTTGCCTTTCATTTTGTTCAGGAGGATTTTAATTTTGGTTGTGTCTCAAAATATTCTTATGATAGTAAATGTCTTCCTTATGGGTTTTATCTTTGACATTATTCTTAGAAATACTTTCTTAAAATGGAATAAATCTCTTCTGTAGGTTTTTATTAATCTCTAAGATGGAGATGATAATAGTACTTGTTAATGTAAGGGTAAGTTGAGTTAATAAGAGCAAAGTGTTGTATTTGCTGTTATTAGTATTTTTAATATTTACATCATGGTCTGTAATTTATCATGTGTTCCTTATGAGAAGAATAGAATTTATTCTTTCCAGGTGATTCTCTGATTGTCACAGGACAATTATTGAAGTCATACTTTCTCTTTGATTTGAAATCCCACCTGTACAAAATACTTATGTACAGTTGACTCTCTTTTTGAGCTTATGGTTCCCTTCTGTCAATCTGCCTTTCTTACTCCAGCAACATATCTTACATATTGTAAAAATTTATTTAATAATTTGCAGTCTGAATTATTTTTGATTCTTTTCTTCCATCCCAAATTTTCTTGTCTAGTATTATGACTTTATTATTCCTGAAGAATTCCAAAATATTTTGTTCAAGTTAAAAAAAATCAGATTGGAGTTTTCATGGGATTTTTTAGTAAGTTTTGAATTATTCTAATGAGAACTTTCATCTTTACAAAACTGCTTTCCTCCATGCAATTTGTTGATGTCTCTACATTCACACCTCTTACTTTACCCCCCAGTACAGTCCTGAAGTTTCTCCATTTAGAACATGGGCATTATTTTTGAATTTATTCCAGATTATTGTTTATGTTTTTGTCTATTTTGTAATTGAGAATTTTTTGCTATTATATTTTTAAATGCTTAAAACTGACATTTAGAAAGGAAGATTCGGTTTGTAAATACTCACTTTGTAACTTGTCATTTAAATTTGTAAGTGTTAAGTACTTGTTCCAGAATCCTTTCTTTTTTGTTTTTAAAAATTTGTGTCCAAGATTCTCAAAATGGTCATAGCTAAGTAGTACAGGTGGAGAGACAAATGGAGAGAGGTAGTGTGGCTCATGTACAAATTGTGAGCAGTTTCATGGCTGCCTTTAGGATGGAGAAGCCACAGAAGAGCCCAGGTTAGACCAGGGATGGCTTTGTATGCACTTGAAAGCCATCTTTCCTGCCTGTATGGTGAAGCCTGGTGGGCGTGGCAGGAAGATGATCAAGGTCTGATCAAGGTCATTGGCTGCACAGAGCACTGTGTCTGTGAGAACTGGTGACCATTGCCATAGGAAACGCTTGGTGCCAGGAACACTGCAGGGGAGCTGGGGAGCCTGTGTGTTAAGGATTTTCCAGTCCTGGGAGTGGGAAGATCAGACTCTGCATTCAGATCTGAGTTTGAATTCATCCTCTTTAGTTTACTGGTCCTCTGACTTCTGTCAAGTTATACATCCTGTTTGAACACCTGCTTTCTTTTCTCTCAAAACAGGAGAATTACGGCCTGCTGCTAGAGTGTTTGATCAGGGTAAATGATTTGTGTCTATAAGATGCCACGTACAGTCACAAGCTCAGTGAGAAATGAGCGGTCGCCTCTTCTTCTGCAACTCAGTGCTCGATAAGTCATCAGGGGAAAGCGAGTCCCTAATTTGTATGTGGTGCAAGGAAGAACAAAACTAACGTCTTGTCTTTCCCTGGCAGTATTCTTACTTCTTTGCTTCATGTACCACTTCCTCCTTTACTCTCCCCTTTCACCTCCTCCAGCAAGAGCCTGAGACTCTCTCAGAACACTAGATTCAAATTACTTTAAATGCTGGCTCATCCCCATGAAATGACAGTGACATAAAAAAAACTGTACACATCCCAGAATACATTGTATTTGATTTACACACACGCACGTGCACACACACACACACACACATCAGGCTACCTCCCATTTGCTGACGGAGAAGGAAAACTTTTTCTGAGTTTTCACTTACTGAGCGTGGGAGCAATGTCTCTTAAGCAGAATTTCGCCTGGCTTCGTGCATGGTTTTTTAAATTGGATTTCTGTTTTGTGTCCATAGAAATATTCTCCTATTAGAAGAGAGGAAGTGGAGACATAGATATTCTGCTGAGATATTGGTGTTATCATATTTGAGTTTTAAAGGACTTAAGACAGCATTGAGTCGTAACTTTTTATGGGTGAGAATCCATGATGGTGTAACTTGGACAAGAACCTGGGTCTCCTGTCATCGTGTCCATGCGGGTGAAGAGGCAACTGTGTGGGGGATGGCAGGGATCCTTCTTGCTTGAGTTCCAGGGTCTTGTTATTTTCATTGCTCAGCTGCCTTTAGTTTATGTCCATGTGGCCTCTCATGGGAAGGTCACTATGCCCTGATAGACTGAGTTACTAATCAGCAAATAACTCTGGACCCACTCATATTTTCCAGAGTTTTTCTGCTGACCTGCTGACACTTTATATAAATGAGACCTAACAAACTACTGGATATAAAATCCTTATTGTTGTCATTAGCCCTCAAGTTCCATAGGAATGGGGTGCTGTCTCAGGCTGTCTAAGGCTAGATCTGAACAAAGATATGGTGATAGTCTTTGCTGCTGGACCCTCCACAGTCGAATGGGATTTCCACTTTAGTTTTTAGAATCAGGCAGATGAGTTCAAATCTTGTCTTTACCAGTTATTAGCTTCGTGACCTTGGGGAAGTAACTTTACTTTTTTGGGTTCTAATTTTCTTTATCTGTAAATAAGTTCAGTATTTATTTTAAGGTTTTTGTTTTAGAATTGAATGAGCTAATTCCCTCATTTATTCCTAAAATACTGATCACATGGTTCTATGCTGGTGCCTTAGTAGTTGATTACTAAGGGACTCAACAGTTAGAATGGGGGTGGGGCCCCCTGTATCATAGAGCTTATAATCCAGGATATGCTTGTAAAAGGCAGGATTGCAGTGGATATTCAGTAAATGTCCATTCCTTTCCTAATCCGCATTGATTGTGTATATATCTTTATACTAATATATGAACAATTTTTTTTGCAATTTAAATCTCTTTGTAGTATTTAAAGAATGTAGCTATAACAAAAAAACGTGAAATAAAATGACTTGACTTTTATTTTCCTTTCAATAAGCAAAACAAAATAAAATAGAAAAGAAAAGAAAAAGTATTGAAGGAGTAGAAATAATTTTATTTCCATGGAATCAACTCCCTATGTTAGGTTATTCCATTGTGTTGTTAAACAGCATATAAAATTGACAGGTTGTGACTTCAGTGTTGATAGCTAGGTGAGTATAGTTTCTTTTTGTGGTTGTCTTTGATGAATTATTTTGACTAGATCTTAAATGATGTGCACGTTAATATTGGAAATGAGGAAGCAGTGGATACATACTACCTCCAATGCAGTCATTTTGTTACCGAGTGCAAACTCGTTCTGCTCGCCGCAGGACAGGCCAATAAACCGGGAGATGAGGTGTTGGAGCAAAGAATAGTGACTTTAATTGCAACGCTGGCAGACCAGAAGACAGCAGACTAATGTCCTGGAGAACCATCTTCCCCAAGTCAGAATTCAGGCTCCTTTTATACTAAAAAGGGGCGGGGTTGTGGTTGTTTGTTGCATACTTCTTGCTTTATGAATTGTTTGTCCTTTGAATCCGCTGTTCTTGCAACTGTCCATTTGGATCAAATCATGGTGCCCCTGTAAAACCTCCAAAAAAAACAAAGGCAATTCTCTATTATGCAACTTGCCATCTATTCAGAAGTGCAGATAAGCTAACATTTTTAAAGGTCAGGGCCAGGAGAATAGGCTTTCCAGTAGATTTCAGGCTAAAGGCAACTTTCTTTTTCAAATGATGCAGAGCTACCAAGTCTGAGCCTAGAAAACAGGGCACAGGTTTAAAGCCAAAGGAACAGATCAAACATAGGGTCAAAATTGTTCTTTTTTATTACAATTCCCTTTTCAGCTTCATAGATAATTTTAGTAAGAAACATGAGCAATTTTGTATTTTTGCTTCATAATAACCGATAAGTGGACCAACTATATTTTTGTGAGCAGGGATACTGTGCGGGCATTGGGATGACAGCAAACTCTTGTTGGGGGTGGCCGACCCTGCAACATGTCTGATGCCCCGTGAGTGTTGGTAAGGGTTCCTCTAGCCAGGGGCTCTCTTCAAGAACGAGCATATGGGCATTGACCTCTGGAGACCTCTTCTTCGGCTGCAGGAATATTTTTCAGATACTGAGATTGAAAAATCACTCCAGCTGGGGATAATTAGGGAAAAAAGGAAAAGGAAAAGTGTTTGGAGTAGAGTAGAAGAGTAGGACATAAGATCACGGAGCCTGAGTGCTTGGCAGCGGGGCCTCGGTTGAGAGGGGAGCAGAGGTGGGGAGGGGCCTGGCTCCTGAACCAGCTCCTGCACCTGTCCCCGTGCCCAAGCCACATAGCTTTTATTTGGCCTGGGCCACCTCTCTGGGCTGGATGTCACCCTGGGCAGAACCTTGAGAATCCAAAGTAAGGGGTGCGCAGCATTCACCTAGGGGATCACTGAGGACTTCGTTCAAGTCTATAGTACCTTTTCTGGTCATGTGTCTTCACTTGTCCTTTATCTCAGGATCTGAGGAGGAGGAGCAAGGAACTCAGGGAGAGATCCAGGAAGATATCCGACTGTGTTAAGAGAGGACAGAAAAAGTGAAACTGGGAGTGAGGACACTTGCAGCAAAATAAAATGACTTCACAACTATTGCACAGAGCTGCAGGTGTAAGAGAGCCTAAGCCTGTCTCAGAGTGCAGGGGACAAGCGGAAAGGAATGGCAAAATTTCCACTGACAATTGAAATTTCTTTAAATACCCTGCTACTTTTGTTTGTATCACTTGAATGAATGCAGGCATATTTCTGCGGGCATTTATAGGTTCACTCAACCCCACCAGCCCCTCTTGACCCTATCAGGGATGGGCTTTCTCAAGCACAGTGCCCCTCCTGCTTGGGTGGACCACGCTGCTGGTCCTCACCTGGGGCCGGGCTGCTGCAGGGCACTGAGTCCCCGAGGCACGGCCTGTGATACACGACAGGAACATATCTGCACTTGACTGGGGGCCTCCGTTTCCCCTGCAGTGTAAGAATGCGGGTGACTGAGTTAGAAGCATGCTTCCAAGCTGTCCATGTCCTTGGCATCCAGAAGCGGAGCCTGGAAGCTTCCGAATTTCTCCAGAATGCGGTCTACATTCACATTCGGCAGGTCAGTTTATGTCCTTACACAAGTGGAGGAATTACTGCAGCTTTCCTGGAACTTTCTCACCATTAGTCCATCTGATTTTTCTGTGCTAGGATTCAGTATGGCCTGCTAAAAAGTCTGGAGTGGGATCTTGAAACTCTGATGAAGAGGATTATTTATTTCATTTCTTTATATGATACACTTTTACTTTTAAAATTCAGAATTTTTGGTTCTTTCAGGAATTTTGGGGGGGTTGGAGAGTCAACTTTGCTCTTAATATCTTTGCGACCTGTTGCTTTGTGCCTCTCACCTGTCTTCTGTCACTTGTGTGGCGGTTCCATTTGTGACCCTGTACAGGTTGTTCATGTTATAAAACATAAAGTCTGTAAAAGTACAGTCCCTTTTCCTCCGAAGACATTCCAGAAATATTTCTTTAACCTGGGTGTGGTTTTAAGAAGACAGAATCATTAGAACATGTACTTGCAGGTTGCTAGTGCAAAATCCCCAAATCAATAGTCTAGCTGAACATCTAAAATCTTTCTAATCTACTTTGGGTTTGTATGGAAAAAATGAAGCAGTTTGCTAAGAACTCAAGACCAGGCTTAGAATACAGGCTGGTGTAGCTCAGCAGGTCCTCCCAAGCTGATGCTCTGCCAGAGGGCAGGGCCAAGGGGAGAGATCGGGTCCTGCCCTCCCTGAGCTGACACTTTCATGGCAAAGACTTTCACCAGGTAAAGAACTTGGAGTTTCTTCTAGGAAGAGTGAGTCTGAAAAGAGTCCAAAAAGCACGGGAGTGACACAGTCCCATTTGTCTCAAGTAGGGGAGAGCGGCTG